ATAGCAAGACCCTGCATCTCTCCAAAAAAGAAAAAAAAAAAAAAATCTTAGCCAGGCATGGTGGTGCACACTTATGGACCTAGCTACTTAGAAGGCTGATGCAGGAAGGTCATTTGAGCCCAGAAATTTGAGGCTACAGTGAGCTATTATCATGCCACTGCTCCCCAGTCTCGGCAACAGAAAGGGACCATGTCTCTTCAAAGAAAAAAAGAAAAAAAAAAAAGTCCAGGCATGTTGGCTCATGCCTATAATCCCAGCATTCTGTGAGGCCAAGGTGGATGAATTGTTTGAGTCTAGGAGTTCAAGGCCAGCCTGGGAAATAGCAAAACTCCAACTCTACAAAATATACTAAAATGGGTGGTGATGCATTCCTGGGGTGGAAAGATGGCTTGAGCACAGAAGGTCAAGGCTGCAGTGAGCTGAGATTACACCACCCCAGCCTGGGTGACAGAGTGAGACCCTGTCTCCAAAAACAAACAAATGACATTTTTAGTTTTGGAAAATGTGAAAACATCCTAAGTGCTTATCAACAACGAATTATTTAAATCAGCAGTTCTCAAAATGTGGTTTGCAGACAGGCAGGAGGCCCTAAGATCCATTTTCATAATAATGCTAAGAAGTCACTTTGCTTTTCAGTATTCACATTTGCACTAATGGTGCAAAAGCAACAGTAGTTAAATCTGCTGGTGCTTTAGCAAGAACCAAGACAGTGACACAAAACTATACGAGTAGTCACTGTACATTTATTACTACCAACTCTCACAGTACTAATAATGTGAGTTTCATGTAAGAATGCCTTTGGGCTGGGCACGGTGGCTCAATACCTACAATCCTAGCGCTTTGGAAGGCTGAGGTGGGCGGATCACCTGAGGTCAGGAGTTCAAGACCAGCTTCGCCACCAGGGTGAAACCCTGTCTCTACTAAAAATACAAAAATTAGATGGGCATGGTGGCAGGTGCCAAAGATGCTTAATGAGTTTAGAGGTAATGTTAATGAATTATTATTGTTTGATACTATATAAGAAAATGTGTCAACGTTTGGAAGATCTGCGTAACTCACTGAAAAATTATTTTCCAAATAAGCAATGTATGATGTTAAAAATCTTACACAGGTAAGAGATCCATTCCAGATGTGAGATAGACCAATGGATTTTAATGTAACAAAGTAGAAACAAATTCTTGGATATGGTTTCAGATTCCACGTTTCAACTAATCTCTAAGAAACCCAGTATCTCTTGAGCATGTGTCCTAGGAAAAAAGGGGAGGGGGAAGACACCTAGTAGTGTATCAAAGGATAATATCAACAATTATTTTTAAAGGCTTTTAAAAACTATTCTCCCTTTTCCAACCAAATACCTTATACTTCCAATGAAACACCTTAACTCCACAGACTGAAGGCAGAAACAGCTATGAAAATCCAGTTGACTTCTAAGATGGCAAAAATGTGGCTGGGCGCGGTGGCTCACGCCTGTAATCCCGGCACTTTGGGAGGCCGAGGCAGGTGGATCACAAGGTCAGGAGTTCAAGATCAGCCTGGCCAACGTGGTGAAACCCCATCTCTACTAAAAACTATAAAAATTAGCCGGGCGTGGTAGCACGCGCCTGTGGTTCTGGCTACTCGGGAGGTTGAGGCAGAAGAATCACTTGAACCCGGGAGGTGGAGGTGGCAGTGAGCCGCAATGGTGTCACTGCACTACAGCCTGGGCAACAGGGCGAGACTCTGTCTCAAAAAACCAAAACCAAAACCAAAACAAAACAAAAAAAAGATGGCAAAAATGCCATTCTTTCTATTATATATTTTTTAGTTCAAATAATTATTTTCATTATAAAATGTCATTTATGTTAACATGGGATAAATTTTCTAAACGAATAATTTTACATTTCTCAAGTTTTTCAGGTGAAATTATATATTCATTTTTAAATGTGAAAAAACACCTTAGCATTATTTACTGTAAAAATGTAGTAAATAACAATAGATAAAAACTCACATAAAGCTCTGTAGAGTCCTCAATAATTTAAGAGTGTAAAGGGATTGTGAGACCAAATATTTGAGTACTGCTGATTTAAATAAAATATCGTACATCCATGCAAGTGACTACTATGCAACTATTAAAAAGTTTAAAAAAAAAAAAAAAAAAGCTTAATTGTGTGGTAGTTTTCCTAAAATTGATATGAAACCCAGAAGCCACTGAGGAAAAGCAGTATTTGCCTACATGAAAACTAAAGACCTCTAAAAAAAAAACCCTGTAATTCCACAGTCAATGTTAGAAGACAAATGATTTGGACAGTTTCCGACTTAATACTCCTCCAACTTCCCTGCCTTGGGTGAGTTAGCAAGGTAATACAAAATGCTTGGAAATAAACTTGGAAAAGATATTCCATAACTTGTTAGCTTGAAAGTAGGGGAAAAAGAGATAATCCAAATAAAAAAAAAAAAAATAGAAGAACTGAATAATCTGTCCTTAGATAAAAACCACAAATCATCAATATGAAAATATTTTGAAACTTAAATTTTAAAATGCAAAATTGAAAATACTGAAATTGTTTTCCCAAATCAGACTGGGACCGACCTGATTGGCAACAACTTAAAAGACTAATCACACAAGTTGGCAAGGACGTAGAAACCAGGAACTCTCAAACTATTAAGTCTAAGTCAATAAAGCAGAATAATGCAACAGTATCTGCACAAAAGTTGTTAAAGGGTAATCTTTGTTCTAGGAGATCTAAAATTTTACCCTATAAATATATTCACACAAGTGCACAAGTATATAAGTATGTAAATTACAGCACTGTGTGTAAAAAGAAAAATCTATACAGCCATTAATGTAAGCCTAATAAAATACATGGCTGTATATGAATATAATAAAAGACGGCAGTTTAAAACTATGAGGTATAATCTGCACATACAAACAGAAAAGTCAACCGTATAGACATTTGTATTAAAAAGTATACATATGTGCATTTAATACTTCTGGAATACAAACCAAATTTAACATTGACTACTCTGGGGAGTAAAGAAAAGTAAAACGCAAGAAGTGAATAATAAGAAAACTGCCAACATTGGAGCCATAAAACATAGTACTTTTCCAAATGATACTTGCTATTTTACACAAAAAGTAGAATTTATAGAGAAACTGAAGTCCCCAGGGATTTCATTTTAAGCTTTAAACTTTTTTTTGTTTGTTTTCCAAACTGATGAGGACACTTAAGAATCCCTTCTTAGACTCCATTCAAGCTGTGAGGGATATACGCCTTGTTTTACTTCTCCCCACAATAAGAGCGACACCAAGAACTGGGTTCACAGACAGCTAGAAGATATACAGAGTTTGTTTTATATCACTGAAAAAAGTGAAAAAAAAAAAAAATGTGGCTTTTGGTGCTACTATTAGGTTAAACTATATAAAACTGCCACTAATGAATTGTTCAACCTAATACATGTGGTACATTGCTTTCCTGAGGAAGGATTTTATCCTTTATAGACTGTTTGACCTTTGATATCCCACTAGCTGACAATCTCCATTATCTAAAAAACTGATTTGTTCCTCATTAGAGGAAATACTGAACCAAAGGGTCTCCTATGAGAAAACTGCATACAGCATATTTGAACTATTTATTTCACTAGGTCTTCCATGACGAATAAAGGAAACATTTTTAAAAAATTAAGATCATAAAAAAAATTTTAATAAACTAAATTATAAATAGATTTGTGGACTCTTTTAAGTAGAGAGTGAATGGTCTGCCCTAAAAAAAGTAAATAAAAAGAAAAAAAGACAAGGAAATGAATTGAAAGAACCTTAGAAGTTAATTCCAATTTACTTTCCTCTACATTGTTACAATGTTTCTAAACTGCCATTTTCTTCCCACCATCAGCATTCAGTGAACTCAAGTTAATTCTCACATACCCCAGAAAATAAATAAAAACAAATCTACTGGAAAGGAGTGGGAAGAGTTGGGAAAAGCCATATAATAAACTAATACTCAATTGCCTGCTACACTGTTAACTATGAAAACTTAACTAATTTTAATCTGTACCCTTTTCCTCTCGTCTCTCAGTTACAAACCAACCAATCTTCAAACTCCACATTCCCTGGCTCTCCTTTCTCATTCTCAGTCCAGCTTCAAGTCACCTGTTCTTCCTCTATACATCTGTATATCTCCTATTCACTCTTCAAACTGCCCTAATCTTTTTTTCCATGTTTTATGGAACTACACTAAAACACTTTGTCCTAAGTCAGTAGGGACTTTTACAAAAGTGTTCAAATCAATGGATATTTTGACACCTTGCTTCATTTGACCTTTTTAGCATGTGCTATGAACTTACACCCTATCTTAGAACAAACCACCTTCTTGGTTTCCATGACCACCACTGTCTTTTTTGTGTGTGTGTGAGATGGAGCGCGATCTTGGTTCACTGCAACCTGCACCTCCTGGGTTCAAGCAATTATCTCACCTCAGCCTCCCAAGCAGCTGGGATTACAGGCGCCTGCCACCACGCCCAGCTAATTTTTGTATTTTTAGTAGAGACGGGGTTTCACCATGTTGGCCAGGTTGGTCTCAAACTCCTGACCTCAGGTGATCCGCCCGCCTCCACCTCCTAAAGTGCTGGGTTTATAGGCGAGAACCACCATGCTGGGCAACCACCACTGTCTTTGTATGTCCATCCTTCATAGGTATTCTTCTTCAACAAAAGCCCTCTATGTGATGCTAGTATCCCAGGTCTTTGTCACGAGTCAAGTGCACTTCTCCTTAAGGGAACTCATTTACTAATGTGGCTTCCATTATGACCAATACTTTTCAAACTAATCTCTCACATAGTTCCTTTTAAACTCAAGACTCACACATGAAACTGTCTGCTGGTCATGGATCATCCAAATGAAAACAGAACCCTCAACCTTAGCATATCTAAAACTAGTCTCATAATCTAACTTTGCCTTCAAACTTGCCCTATTCACCATTTACCTTGTGGCCTAACTCAGAAAACCTAAGTGTCAGAAAGCTTACCTGTTCTGTAGAGGATGTTTAATATAGTGTTCTGGGTTAGCAACCTCCTGATTAGATTCCGTTTTCTCCTCTTCCGTAGTCGGGGGATTAGGAGTAGGGGTGGTTTCCTAGTGGAAAATAATATAAAACATTAAATTTCTTAAGACATCTATGACAGCAATATTCTAACTAAACCTGAACTGACATGCTGATAATTTTTTTTTTTTTTTTTGAGACAAGAATCTCTCTGTTGCCCAGGCTGGAGTGCAATCGTGCGATCTTGGCTCACTGCAACCTCCTCCTCCCAGGTTCAAGCAGTTCTCCTGCCTCAGCCTCCTGAGTAACTGGGATTACAGCTGTGTGCCACCATGCCTCGCTAATTTTTCTATTTTTAGTAGAGACGGGGTTTCACCATGTTCGTCAGGCTGGTCTTGAACTCCTGACCTCGTGATCCGCCCACCCTGGCCTCCCAAAGTGCTGGGATTACAGGCATGAGCCACCAACGCCCCACACTGATATTTTTTAAGAAGGAATTAAAGCAGATTGCTTCATAAAACAGACCACCCAGACCAACCTCTAAAGAACCATTCTCTATTCTCATATCTCTTCATTAAGAGCAAAAAGAAAGGGATTTCTCAAATCTGAAAATGTAATGATATTTATAGTTACCCTTCCACTTGCACTTTTTTTTTAAATAGCAGGAAGACAGTCACAGACTATGCAACAAAGTTGGGAAAATCTGCTATTTTTCTTAACATACCATCATATTGAGATACTGCATATGGTATTGAAGGGGGTATCAGGAAGGATAGAGGATTAAAACTAAAGTTTCAAGAGTATAACAACTATATCACTGGGCACAGTGGTGCATCCCTATAATCCCAGCTACTCGGGAGATTAACAGGAGGATTGCTTGAGACCAGGAGTTTGAGACCAGCCTGGGCAACACGGCAAGACCCTGTCTCAAAAACAAACAAAACAAAACTATATTATGATGACAAAAAAGCTTTGTAAAGTGATCAAGTCAATGATATGCAGGTCTTACCTTCATGGCATACTGTTTACCCTATGGTAACCTAAAAGTTTGGCAGCTTAATATTTTCAGTTGGCCCTAACAAGATGGACATTGGCTTGAACTTAAATCTTCTCTTAGGCTAGGCATAATTAACATTGTCATCTAAAAATATCAGAAAGAAAACAAGGCTGGGGACAGTAATTTAAAATAGGTGTTCACCACATTCTTCCATGTACCTCTTCATACTATCATAAATTGTCAACAAAAGAAAAAAGCCAAAGAAAGGCACTAGGACAAAGACTGATACCAAAAAAAGGGCAATGCAACAAGTGTTTAGAAATCAGACTGAAGCAGCAAACAATAGAGATCTATGTTAACATAATAAGATATGTAACTCGAATATTTATTATCTAAAAGACCTCAGAGAGCAGAAAGGTGGTAAATATTTATTTGAAAGAATATGGGTTTTCCTGTATTTTATGTTTCTTAGAGATGGGGTCTCACTCTGTTATCCAGACTGGAGTGCAGTGGGTAATCATAGTTCACTGCAGCCTCAATTTCCCTGGCTCAAGCAATCTTCTTGCCTCAGTTTCAAGGGTAACTGGGACTACAGATAGGCACCACCTTGCCTCAGTCTCAAGGGTAACTGGGACTACAGATAGGCACCACGATACCTGGCTAATTCTTTTTTATTTTTAGTATAGACAAAGTCTTACCATGTTGGCCAGGCTGGTCTCAAACTCTTAAGCTCAAGCGATCCTCCCACCTCAGCCTCCTAACGGATATGTTTTTTCTTATCAACATATGACACGTATAAGAATTTCTATTAGCCTATAAAGTCACCCAGAACAGAGACCCTGTCTTGATCTCACTCAGTAATCACAGTACTTAACCCAATAGGAACTTATTGACTTCATTACTTAACTGAATAAATTTAAATGTTTACATAGAATGGTTAAGGCCTGAAAATTGACATACAGTAATTAATGCCTTAAAACCAAACATTTTTATCAACATTTACTTACCAGTAAATTTAAGTGTTCAAACAGATGATAATTACTGAATGCCATTTCCTATCCCACTAGCTTAAAATTAATGATGGGTTTCCAGGCAGACAGTGGGAGTCTCAATGAAAACAATGAGAGACTGGCAGGCAGGTAGGCTTTAGGGGACAGGGTACCAGAGAAAAACTGCTGTAGATGAGAAGTGGGCTCCTCAATATATGTAAAAATCCCTCACAGGTTTTTGGCTAACTTCTAAACTGGCACTTTCAGAGTGTAACTCTGGTTGGCCTAACAGAGAACAAGAACAGCTGAGCCAAAACTAGAGACTGCACAGTATTTGTGAAACATAAGTAGAATGGGTACAGGGACTTATGTCTGTGACTCCAGCACTTTGAGAGGCCAAGGCGAGAGGACTGCTTGAGTCCAGGAGTTTGAAAACAGCTTCAGCAATACAGTGAGACCCAGTGAAGAAAGGGGAAGAAAGAAAAAGAAACAACCCTCTCTCTCTCAGATCCAAAAAGGAATACCAAAGAAAAGTCTTCAGCCTGCAGAAAAAAGATCCCAGATGGAGATGCAAAAAGAATGACAAGCACTTGAAAAGGTAAATATCTTATATAAATGACCATTAACAGTTTAAAGGAGCAATGATTATAATATGTTTTGGGGTTTCACATAATGATGGTCCTACCACAAGGTTAGGCATACAGGGGTTTTCAATGTTGAATATGCCAGTAAAAGATATTCTTCCTCTCAAAGTTAAATAGCACTGTAAATTCTCTTATATTTATTCACAAGCTCAAAATCCTCACTATAAACCATTCACAACACTTATTTAAACCTTTCACCTCAGCAGCACATAAACTGTGAGTTACAATATGACTAATTACAAGTTTAAGGTGTCCAAAATAATGTAGTACTTTCCCTTCTTTTATGTTATTCCATTCTTTTCATTATTGGGAAAATGATGAAAGACTAAGATGGCATCAAATCTTTGGACATATAGGAATTAAAAGCAAGTTATCAGTCAGGAAAAACATATCCAGTTTCTAGAATTTTAAAAGTGTTATTTTGAATTAAAATAAAAGTCGCACTGTAAGTAACTGATACTAGTCTTCATATTAAGAACACATAATTGGCCAGGCACGGTGGCTCAGTGCTGTAAACCCAGCACTTTGGGAGGCCGAGGCAGGTGGATCACCTAAGGTCAGGAGTTCAAGACCAGCCTGGCCAACATGGTGAAACCCTATCTCTACTAAAAATGCAAAAATTAGCTGGGCGCAGTGGCGTGTGCCTGTAATTCCAGCTACTCGGGAGGCTGAAGCAAGAGAATTGCTTGAACCCAGGAGGCAGAAATTGCAGTGATCAGAGATCGTGCCACTGCACTCCTGCCTGGGCAACAAGAGCAAAACTCCGTTTCAAAACAAAACAAAACAAAACAAAAAAGGACACATAATTTTGTACTTTTCCAACAACTTAAAAAAGGAGCTACACATTTTGAAATGTGCGTGTATGTATGAATCAGTAAGTATACTAATTTAAAATCTTTAGTCTTCACTTTTAATTATATAAACATATTAGATTTTCAAACAAATGATGTGAAATACCACAAAAATTTTTATTGGGCATAGACAGTCTTCTTTTCGTATGATCTATATGGGAACTAAAAAACAGTTCAAGAAACAAGTTCTATTTTAAGATATATAACCTTATTTTTAAGGTTGCTTCCTATAGACACTAAATAGTTTTAAGTTTGCATTCAGTTTAAAAACAAAACTCTACTGCAAAATCCTACCATATTCCTCTCTCTACTCTCTTAGGCTGGTGTTTTCTCAATGAGCAAATTTCACTGGAAATTACATTCTAAATGACCAATCTCAGGTTCTACTGAGGAATTAAAAGGAAAAAAATTAAATGACTAACATTTCTAGGTTTATAAACTATCTGGACAAAAAAGTAAAGACTAATTTAGCAGATTATGGCTAATCTCAAAGTAATCAAACACATTTTTAACCTAAAATAGGCAATCTTCCCTTGAAAAAGCATTGTGTAACACATTTTAGGTGGGTAGAATAGGGAGTAAGAGCGAGGCCATGGGATGGTGCTGTGTTCATCCAGGTAGTAACCAATGTGGCTGAAAGAGAGGGTTCGTGAAACCAGAGCTAGAATGGTAGGTTGGAGTGAGATTGTTAAAGGCCTCAGAGGTCAGGCTAAAAGTGAAGCTTTCATCTTGGGGGCAATGAAAGCCATTAACTAGAAGGTCAAAGAGATTAAATACAAATGGCAAGTAAGGGAACAGAAAAAGATAACCAATTTGAGAGCAAAGTATTAAACCTGGTTTAAGATTTGCTCAGTTTATCAGCTTCAAATAAAAATGTTCAGTATTGTAATTTAGCAAACCCAGGGCTGAATAAACTGTCATAGCAACAAGAGAAAGTTGAAAGTGAAGAAAAAAAGCAAGCAAGGGCAAGAAAAGTCTAACAATTGGCTGCAAAGAATGTCAGGTAGCTTTTTACTACATTCTGCAAAAACTAGCACAGGTATAATATTAATCTTATGGGACAATCCTAATATTATAGAGGTAAATATTTCCCAGATCTAGCATCATTCTGTGATGTTTTCAATAAATCTGACTAAACTTTAGATTCTCCTCATCATGTTCAAGTCTACATTGCTTAAATTTCAAAACCATGATGCGCTTTTCCACGGTTTGGAACATTCAAGATTTCTCAGCAATTCTCAACCCAAATACACATATAAACCATTTCTTCTAAAAATAATGATGAGCCTTCCCCCTCAGAACACCCCATTTGTGTACTCCATTACCTTCATTCAACAAATATTTACTCACAGGAACTTCCAAAAAATTTTTTTCCGGGTTAAGACAAATCACCCAACACCTTATTTGAAGTATGTAATAATCAGTAGTCCCCCTAGGCACTGGTTAATGGTTTGAACCAATAACTCAAGGTATAGTCCACAGACTACTACTACTGGTCCACAAACTGGTTATGGTTGACAGTGAGGTTAAGTATAGAAATGCAAAGTAAACACTTCGGAAATTTGTAGCAATTTGACAATTTTTTATCTGCTGAAACTAATCAAATTCAGGC